TTTTGATATAACTTCATGCAAAAAAAGAAACAATCTTGAACCAAAGAGGCTAAATGACTTAGTTTATATGAAGTTCAATCGGTCGTTGAAGGAAAGATTTGCTAAGCAAGAAAAAAGAGACCCCCTTAGAACAAAAGACATGGAAAATGCCATGGAGTCGTTGGTTGATGATTATGAGGTAGAGGAGCATAGTGGATTGACAGAGATATGGTTATGGAGGCCTCAGATATAGCAGCCAACCCTCCAAGGGCCACTAGATCATCTTCACAGCGGGTGAGGGGGGAGGAGGAAGGGGAGGCATATTCATAAGAAACAGAAGATGACAAGCGTTATGTTGAGGACGGAGATGATTTCGATGATGATGGACTCGACTCCGATGAATATGATGCAGGTCTACTTTTTCTGATGATGACTGAAGACTCTTTGAGTCTTCAAGCCTTCTCTTTCCTTTTTTTTCTCCTCTTATGTGTATAAATTATAGAGAATGGAGTGTATGGACTATAAACATGTGCAATGTCTAGTACTGAATTTGAATGTTGGATTATATTTCCTAATTTTTCTGAATGTGTTATTAAATAGTTGTCCAAATCTCAAATACTTTGGACCTCAATATGCATTTTCTTAACCGAGTATGGACTAATGGTATGGAGTGTATGGACCATAGTTGTTGGGTACGGGAACGGGAACGTTTCCGGGATCAGCAGATCGAAGCTATACTGAAGATCCCTGTGTTAGGGATCGATGCCCGTACAACCTCAAAGGTCGGGATCAAGGTCCATGTATGTTGGGGATCAAGCACCTCTATTACATAGGATCCAGAATTATTATATGAATGTGTGAGATCCTACACGTAAGAAGCGAAGTTTCTAAGGGCATTTTTTTTAGTTTCTTAACTCAGAGAGCGCATGACTAAAAGTGGTCCAAAATATTATGGAGCGAGGAATAACTTTTATAGGAACGAGCTCCAGTTTCATAGAACACGAGTTCCTTATGTAGGTAATAAGGATCTGTGATTTTAAAATGTAGCTCCCAGTGTTGTTGACCAATAACATGTAGGCTTAGTCCTTATATAAAATAAATAAGGAAATTTAAAGCGATCCCATATTCGTGGGATCTGGATGCCACATATCGCGATGCCTGTGTTCCGTTTGGAATCCATATCCCAATACACTCTGGAGCACGAACCATAAGTTTAGGGAACTAGATCCTGTAATGTTCAGGAAAGCGAAATTAAATTGTTAGGAACTCGTTCCCTTATAAGATGGAGAGAGATCCCAAAAACAATAAATTGAGTTTCAGATGAGATCCGCTCCAGGATCAAGACAATCAAGGTTCTGTAAGGGATTGCCAAGCAAGGGCAGAGATTCCAGTATCTATGGTATGAACTATGGATGGACTATGTATTATGCATTCTTAATGTGTTATGTGTGAATATGCATTTTTTACACAGAATTGGACCCAAAACAGTTGGATCAAACACCTACCCATGTTCTTCCACCTAGGCCACCAGGAACCCCCCCAGCCACCTAGGAGCCGTCCAATGTTTTTTTGGAACATTGATCACAAATTAATGTTATAGGAAAAGATTTTTCCTCAGCAGAACCGTAATATCACTTTCCTATTGGGACTACAATTTGTAATTTTATGGATTCAGATGATTTATGAGTATTTCCATGTTATATATAGATGAACATCTAGGCATGTATATACTGATATAAAACACAAATGCATCACTCCATAGGGGCAGATAAACAAACATAACGACATATAGAGTAAACTTGCAATTTAAAACACTAATCTCTAGTTAAATATTTTTATTAGAATGATGTGGGATATGACTCTAGACATGTACATATACAAAGTTCAAAATATTAAATTCTAGGATGTAGCTAGAAGAATATCCATCCATGTTTTGTGTTGTCCCAACATGAGAATCCTAACTGTTTAAATATTGTAAAGCTATTTCTTGTCACAATCACATCCTAAAAAAGTATGAAAAATGTATGTACTCAGTTAAGTATGAAAAGTGCACCAAAGACAAAAATATCCCAGACATGGAAGGGGAATCAGACAATCACAATCCAATGGAGATCAGTAATGTTGAAAAATTAGGCCGGCCACCTAGCCGCCTTTAAAAATGCCTAGGCAGGCACCCAAGGCGGAGATACCTATAGGTGCCCTGGCCAAGGCGGAATTCTCCCTAATTTGCTACATTTATATATTGTAATCATTATCATTTTCTCTTTCACCATTTCTCACTTTGGCTTTTACCACTCCTACTTCACTTTACATATGAAGCACTCGTGTATTGTTGCCTGATGTACTTATTAATCAATGTTTTATTCTTGTCTTATACATCTAACACCCTCGCTCACTTCTCCAAATGGAACACCTCCTGGCCACATATTCCACTTATAAATCAATGCTCTCCCCCTCACATGTCAATAGGTACGCAAGAGACCTCAAACAAAACCCTCTACTTGATGTCGAACTCGCTAGTCCAAATGTTTGGAGACTTCCCCCAAGAAATGGGTACATAAAACGGAAAGATCGGAACATGGGAATAGATTTGATACTAATACGGACTACCCATTTCAATTGTTGTCCTTTCTTTGAGTAAGATAACATAGTTGTGAAGAAGGTAATAACCAATAGGTACAAAGGCACAAAAAAGAAGTCAAACAAGAAGAGGACAAACAAAATAAGAGAAACAAATAATAAATTTTACATAATAGTAATAATGAAGAAGGAAAAAACTCCAACAACTTGTCACTTTAGCAGGCTACATGTGTTTATTTGCTCTTCTCCATTGCCTACTACTGCTAAACATGCCGAACCTCCCCTTGTGCTAAGAAATCATCACTTTTGCTTTTTATTATGTTGTCCTCTCTCTCTCTC